GGAAATTTAAAAAAATTTCCCCCTCCCCCCAACCCCCAAGGTTAAGCTTTTACCGGTAAATTTTTTTTTTTTTTTTTTTGGGCTTGATTTGCTGGATAATTTTTTTTTTTTTTTTTCAAACGACTCTATAAAACGGCCTCGTTTTTTTTCCCCAAGGTTTTTCCTTATTATAAACAAACAAACAAACACACCCCAAATTTTTTTTCGATTTTTACTTACTGTCGATTTCATTAAAATTATAATTAATATAAATGAATTCCTTATTATGCTGATTCGAGTTTTTTTGTTTTGTCAAAGTTACAAATAAATAATAATAATAATAATGAAATGTTGTCGAAGGAATGTTGTTACTTTCAGCAAAAAAAAAATTTACTTTCCCCCCTTCCCTTCCCCCTAAAGGAATATTAATCAACGTGACAAACAATTTTAACATTTTAGGTACGGGAAGAATCGTACGTAGGGATTCTGTAAATAAACAATATGGACGACAACCTTCATCTCATTGTTCGAGAGTCGTTAAAATAATAAAAAATAAAATTTCTTCGTCATTCACGAGAAAGGTTTTACACAAAAGGATACCAATTTTAAATTGGATAAAAAATTATAATATTAATTTTTTAATAAGTGATCTTTTGGCGGGTTTAACGGTGGGTTTAACCGCCATTCCGCAGGGTATTGCATATGCTGTCGTGGCAGGATTAGAACCTCAGGTATATTTAAATGGCCCTATTAATTAATAAGAAAATATTTAAATAATAATATATATATATTGAAATTTTTATTCAGTATGGACTGTATTCTGGTTTTATGGGTTGTTTTGTTTATTTTTTCCTTGGGAGCGTGAAAGATGTTACGATTGGACCCACAGCAATAATGGCTCTAATGTCTCAAAAAAGTGTCGAAGAATACAACAGCGATTTTGCCGTTTTGTTGTGTTTTCTAACGGGTTGCGTTACCATGTTATTTGGAATTCTTCAATTGGGTAATAATCATTTATGTTGATAATATAAATTTTTTCTTTTCGAATGTTTTTAATTTTGTTTATGTTTTTAAATTACAGGATTTTTAGTTAATTTTATTTCCGTTCCCGTTACCGTTGGTTTCACAACAGCGGCAGCAATAACGATAGCATCTTCACAAATAAAAGGTTTATTGGGTATAAAAGGAAAATCAAACGAATTTTTAGAATCGTGGATATCAGTTTTCGAACATATAAAAGAAACAAGATATCAAGATCTGTTATTAGGTTTAGTTACAATTTTCTTATTAGTTTTATTAAAGGTAAAAATTTTTCTTTTAAATAATAATAATGATTTTATCACGTCGTATTACAAACGTTTATTTTTGCAGATTGCAAACGAAAAAATTTCGAAAAAATATAAAAATCAATCATCTTTGTCCAATAACGATAAAGCAATTAAAGAAACATTTAGAATAGTCGGATTAGGTCGAAATGCGATAGTCGTGGTTTTAGGTACTCTAACGGCTTTCATATTCGAACAGTATAATATGTGTCCATTTACGCTCACGGGTAAATAAGTAAAAAAATTTTCTATTCGAATCAAATGTGAAATTTTAATTTTATTAAAAAATTTTACATTTTTTTTCTCACAGGGGAAGTTGCCGGAGGGTTACCACCGTTTAAACCACCGCCATTTTCAACAAACGTCATAAATAAAAATAACGAAACTGAATATATGCCTTTTGAAAAAATGGTTGCCAATATGGGAACTGGTATCATATCCGTACCCGTAATATCCGTTTTAGAAACCATAGCCATTGCAAAAGCTTTTGGTAAATTTCGAATATTTGAAATCTTTTGTATTTTTTTACAAGAAGAACATCGAGAATGTAAGTAATAATAATAATAATCTTTTATTTTTCAGCCAAAGGTAAGACTTTGGATGCAACGCAAGAAATGATGGCATTGGGTGCTTGCAACATAGCCGGTTCTTTTGTCAGATCAATGCCGACGGCAGGTTCATTTACAAGAACGGCCGTAAATAACGCATCAAATGTAAAAACTCCATTGGGAGGAATATTTACCGGTCTCATTGTTTTATTAGCTTTGTCATTAACGGCAACATTTAAATACATACCCAAATCAACTTTAGCCGGATTGATATTGACGGCCATGTTTTACATGATGGAAACTCATGAAATTAAATTAATTTGGAAAACAAAAAGTAAGAAGAAATGAGGTTTCCAAATGCAGAAAAACATTTAATTACAACAAATTCCAATTTTTTTTTTTTTTTTTACAGAAACGGACATAATTCCTTTGGTTGTGACAATATTTGGTTGTTTGTTTTTGGGTTTGGATTTGGGAATAATCGTCGGTATATTTGTCAATATTTTATTCGTTTTATACAATGCAGTGAGACCGAAAATAACAAAAGAAGAAATTATGGTTCGAATCAAATACATAATATTACAAATAAGAGAAAAATTAAAAAGGAGAGGAGGGGTAAGGGAGGAAGGGTTATTAGTTTTAATAATTTTGAAAATTTTTTTTTTTTTTTCTCCAGATTTCGGATCAGGAAGTATTAGTTGTACGTCCGGAACAAGCATTATATTATCCGGGAGCCGAATACGTACGAGAATTAATAATGAAATCATCGAAAACTCAAACGAAAAATTTAATAGTTTTAGATGGTAAAAATATTCATTCGATTGACGTCACTGTGGCGAAAAATTTAAAAACTTTATATCAGGATTTGGAAAAATTTTCAATAAAAATAATATTTTGGAATTGGAA